CCTCTGCCTCCCAAGTAGCTGGGACCACAGGTGCCCGCCACAACGCCTGGCCATTTTTTGGTTGCAGCCATCATTGTTGTTTGGTGGGCCCGGACTAGGGATTCGAACCCGCCACTTTAGGTGTATGTGGCTGGCGCCTTAGCCGCTTGAGCCACAGGCGCTGAGCCATGCATGTATGATCTTACTCAATCCTCATGACAACTCTGTAAAAGAGGCACTATCATCTCAGGTTGATGAACGGCTATGACACGGCCCACATTTCTGACATTGCAAAGAAACGAAAAGAGCCCCGGCCCAGCAGATGTAGGTACCCCAAGGACAGTCAATAGGTGGCTCACTGCTCCTGGGACACAGGAGAGACAAGACCCAGGTGGATGGCACCCCCTTTTTCTTATTAGGGTGACCTTGAGCCTACACAAAAGCAGGCAGCTTCCCCGCACACACAGAAACAAACACCCACACTGGCACACTGCTCTTAGATGTGCGTTCCTGGGGTGTGAAGTTTTGTAGACTCTTTAAAGGAAAATGGCCTTGGGGGAGCCTTCCCTGTGCCCAGGAGAATGAATGCATTGAACTTTTGGTGAGACCAAAAAGGAGAGAGGAATCAGAGGGAAGGGAGAGACCCTCCAGGATGGAGAAGGGAAGCCAGACGGACCCAATATGAACGCCACCAAAAGCACTAACTTAGGGGGCTTGCTGCAGCCAAGGACACGGAGCCAGAAGCCCCCTAAAGCTCCAGGTGGGGCAGAAGTACAGCCTCAGTGGAGAGTACCTATGGGAACAAAGGGAAACGGAACGGGAATGGACTTCATCCCTGAAGCTGAAGTCTTTCTTCCTGCCCATCCTGCTGAAGCCTCCCCTTCCCCTGAAGGCCCAGACCTCCCATCCCTGGCCCAGCTGGGCAGCTATTTCACCACACAGTGCCCTGTCCAGGAGCCTAGCAGGCGGGGCTACGCTGCCAGTAGCCCACACACATCAGACTCCTGGGGCTCTTAGGAAAGTGCAGATTCTGATTCAGTGGGTGCAGTTGGGGCCGGAGAGATTCTGCTTTTCTGACAAGCTCCCAGGGGGATGTGACATTGCTAGCTCCCAGCCCTCATTCTGAAGAACGAAGATGTAGGAAAGAGCTAGGGGGCCAGGGTGGTCCTCCCATTACCAAGGGTAGCTGTTTAGGTGACACAAGGCACCAAAGTGTCCCCAAGGAACATGCCACAGCACCCTAGGGGACAAGACAGGTGTTCAATAAGGAGGGAAGGAGAGAAGAGACCAGTGGTCCTGATCAAATGGCAGGGTGTGTTTTAAAGTGTGGCTCCCCTCCCCATGTGAGTCTGAGGGGCCCTTACCATGGATTTCCAGAAGGTTCTTGGTGCCAGCCTTGCGGTGCAGCTCATCGATATTCTGGGTGATGACCATGACCCGCCGTCCCTGTCTGCCTAGCCGGGCCTCACACTCGGCAATAGCGAGGTGCCCGGGGTTGGGCTCCTTGGTGCGCACAACCTCGCGCCGGTAGTGGTAGAACTCCCACACGCGAGACGGGTTGTGGGCAAAGGCCTGCGGGGTTGCCAGGTCCTGGGTGTGAGAGGAGGCAGGGGTTAGGGGGAGTGGGGCAGCGGGCGCTGAGCCCTGGGCAGCCACACAGGCCCTTCTTACCTAGATGGGGTAGGTGGCCTTGGGAGGGGGCAGGTGGGAGCAGGGTGGCTTCGGGTTCAAGCAGCAACCCCCAAGTCTAGCCACTGACCCAGGGCCGGGAACTATCACCTGAATCTGCCCAGGGCTGGGAACTATCACCTGAATCTCCCCAGGGTGAAGCAGGACAGTGCAACCTGCCCCCTCTACGCTTCAAGTAGTCATGAACAGGAAGTATAGTAATATACAAGACAGGATTTGCAGTTGAATCTATTCATTCATGGAGTCCCAAAATATACAAAGGGAATCTAATTTTGAGTGCACCCAGGAAAAATATGAAATGCAAAATGGCCAACTGAGGTAAAATGGTCATCGTTGAGAAATTAGGTTTTTATAACTACAGCTACAGATGCACATATCTATACACACACACAACATTCACAATTACACAGAGACACAGCCCAAACACCACACACACAACTATACACACGCATACACACATGGCATGTACACACAACTACACCTATGAAATAGTATATACATGTCAACAGAACATATAAAACACACATGTTTAGAGTGTGGCTCACTTGCCAGACGAGCCAGAGCTCGCCTAGATGACAGAGCAGAGCAGTGGTTGTCTGGACTGGGAAGGGCACAGAGAACTTCAGCTATGACCAAAATGCTCTGTACTTGACTGGAGGTGGTGGTGTCACATAGGTGTGTGTCAAGACTCATCAGACTGGACACACAATGTACATGGTGCATACATTTTATTCTATGTAAATTCTGCCTCAGTTCTGTTAATTTTAAAAAGTGTGATTTCTCTATCAGGCATTGAGACTGCACACATTGAACACTGTACATTTATTTCTCCATAAAGGCCCCCTCTGCTTGGTAGCAATGCCAGCCTCCGCTTTGCGAGGGGACGTCCACACTAGGGGTGACCCACCTAACCTGTGCTGCCCTCCTTCCTGCTCTCCACCCAGAACACGAGTGGTTTGGAGCAGTTTCTAGGTGGCGCATGAACGTGTCCTTAAAACTAGGGGTGGAGGAAAATGTTGAATCCTTCGCATCCCCCTCCAACTCTGAGCCTCCCTGATACGACTGAGTACCCTCCACGCACCACCTGCATCCCCTGAGGTCCTTACCTCTGCTGCTTCTGGTCCAGAGACTGCCCTTGGCTGCCCCTCTTCCTCACTGGACCCTAATGGCTCCTGCTCTTCCCCTTTCACCTTTCAGGGGAGGACCCCCATCACCAGGTGATGGCCCCAGGCCTCACCCAGAAGGCAGCAGAGGGGGTCAAAGCACGTCTGCCAGTTGCACACACTCACGGGAGGAGGGAAGGGGCAGGTTCATGAACTTTACACTCAGTGAGAGATGACCTACTAGTCAGGGAAGTCATATTTTAAAGTAATTATGATTGCCTTCATTCAACCAACAGAATCCACTAAGGACCTACAATGTACCAGAGTTCTGTGAACTAGAACAGTGAAATCAATACAATAGGCAAAATTCCCTGTCCTCCAAAATTATGTTCTGAGTCTGGGGGGATGGGAGGGAACACAGCATCATGATGGGGGCTACACAACTATATCCACTGGTTAAAATCCATTGAATTTTACACTTAAAATAGGTGACCTTTAATTGTATATATATCTCAAAAACTGAATTAACAAAAATGATCCACACCTGAACAGAACTGACATTCCAATGGCCTTCACATAGATGTTTTCATATCAAACACTAAGCCTTAGTGTTTTTTTTTTTTTTTTAGAGACATAGTTTCACTTTGTTGCCCTCAGTAGAGTGCCATGGTATCACAGCTCACAGCAACCTCCAGCTCTTGGGCTTAAGCGATTCTCTTGCCTCAGCCTTCCGAGTAGTTGGGACTACAGGCACCTGCCACAATGCCTGGCTATTTTTTTTTTGCAGTTTGCCAGGGGGTGAGTTCCAACCCGCCACCATCGGTACATGGGGCCCAGCGCCCCCTAAGCCTTAGTTTTAACATGAAAGTTCATAGAAGTTCTAGTAATGAATTATGCTAACCAAGGTCTTCTGATTCTATTTTAACATAATTACTAGAAGAAATTGTTGTTTGAATACATGTTATACGTATCTAGAAAATAATGAAAGTGGTTTCTTTGCTTAAATTTTAGACCCTAATCATAAGAGCTCTGAGTTGATGCCAAATCAAGAGGACAATAGGGTCACAGGTAAACGTTTCCCTCTGGGTCTCAGGCACTGATATAGGTTCTAAGTCAAACTCCGTCATAACTTCATTCAGAAGAGTCTTTCCACGTTCTGGAAATATTACCAACCTGAGCCTGCCATTTTCTCCAGTAACCTCCGGCTCCTCTGAAGGTCGGAACCCCGCTTTCGGCACTAACACCAGCCCCTGAAATGATGACTATGTGCTTGGCTTTTGCAAAAAATGTCCGAAAATCTGCCATACCTAAACGGAGAATAAAATCTTTATTAGATAAGTGTGCCAATCTGGACATCTGTACCTTGAAACTTGACCTTGCATGAAATTATATTTTAAGATACTCAAACAAAAATCATCCCTGCACCATGAAGATGCCATCTCATGCAGCAATGGGTGAGCATAGAAATCAAAGAGGCAGGGCCTTCGGGCACACACTACAGGCTCTGAGTCCCAGCTCTCCCTCCCATCCAACTGTGGGCTCTCATGCAAACACTCACGCTCTTCTATCCTGTCTCCTTGGGTGTTTGATGTGTACAGTAGCACCTGTCTTAGAGCAGCATTGTTATGAAGATTAAAAAAGACTAATGGGTAGGAATTCATCTTCCCTCAGAAAAATAAAAATAGGCTTGTGTGTGTGAGGACCTCAAGGCCTCCCCTTCCTCCTCAAATTCACCTTCCCTTTGGGGACCTTGCTAGTACAACTTCCCTCAGCACGGCAACCCATGGTGAAGACAGGGCTCCTCTCCTGGGAACAAATGCTCTGCGGCAAACAGGGATGTGTGATTATCTCCTCGACAGCTAAAATACGAGTCAAACTTTTCTTTCTTTCTCTTTTTTTTTTTTTTTGAGACAGAGCCTCAAGCTGTTCCCCTGGGTAGAGTGCCATGGCATCACAGCTCACAGCAACCTCCAACTCCTGGGCTCAAGTGAGTCTCCTGCCTCAGCTTCCCAAGTAGCTGGGACCACAGGCGCCTGCCACAACACCTGGCTATTTTTTTGGTTGCAGCCGTCATTGTTGTTGTTTGGCGGGCCTGGGCTGGATTCGAACCCACCACCTTAGGTGTATGTGGCTGGCACCTTAGCCACTTGAGCCACAGGCGCCGAGCCACAAGTCAAACTTTTCAATAACACACTACCACAGGCATAGCCTGTGGCCGAGACCAACATCTTCTCTCCCACGTGATGCGTCTCTGCAGGCCCTCACATGTCAGGTGAGTGCTGTGGCCCAGCAGGTAAGCACTGGGCATAAGCTGGCAGGGGAAGAGAGACTCCCAAGAAGGGAGTTCTGGACTGCATCACCCAGGCCATAGAAGCAGGGTAAGTCCCAGACACGGAGATCTTCCAGGAGTGCCCAATTGGTGTTAAAGTACTAAAGACTTAGCAAATGTGGACCTGAGTTCCTCGGCTGACTGCGTAGGCTCCTGCTCTTCCCCTCTTGAGGGAAAGCAACCAAGGCTGACCCTTGGACTGAATGAGTGTCCCCAGAGAGATGGAACTGTGATAGGTAGGAAAGGGGCAAAGAAGAAAGATAGTAAGGTAGGGACTCAGAGACAGTTAACTTGACCACTAAAAGGCAAAGGGGCCCCATTTTGTATCCCCAGCTGTTAGGCACATTCTACTGGTTTCTCAGACATGACCCCCTCTAGGCAGGGATGAGCCTTCCTCATCCTCCTAAGCCCAGAGCCACAAGCTATGCCTGGCTCAGGACAGAGACTCTCAATAAAGGCTCAATTCCTCCTCCCCTCCCATCTTCTCTGCCCTACAATAGACTACTGTGAAAATGAACAAAGACAGACTCTCAGAAACAAAGATGCGGAGAACACCAGCAGCCTCTCCGGCTACATTCCCAGGGCTCTCCAGGACCACGCTCCTGGCAGCCTCAGACTGAATAAAAGAAGATGCTAGAACATGCTGTCCCCTGCAGGTATAGCCAACCCAACTACCCTGCCAGTTACACCAAAGGTCTGGCTGAAGTCAGTTCCTTCCAGACAGAATGGCATGGAAGACAAGCCCATTTGGAGACTCAAGCTGTCCTACCAGGAAGAACTAGGAAAGAAAAACCCCATCTGGGTGGATTAGAGTTTCTAATCTGATCTAATCTCTTGAAAGAACAAGCTGCTTAATAAGAAAATGTAAAAGTACTTTGCTGGGAACCAGTTGTGTGAGTCCTGGGTTCAACTCATATCCTTAAGGACTTCAACGTTTACCCCTAAAACTCTCCCCAGAACTAATGGTCTTTTCTATCCCAAATGGAAACCGTTATGTACTGTTCACATCTTCCTAGGTCAGAGTGACTTCTATTGAGGTGCCACTTTAAGCAACCACTAGAAACAAATAAAAAGTCAACCTTCCAGTTCTTGGAAAATAGGATGTAGTGTACAGTAATGTTAATGTGGTATAAAATCTTTTTTTAAAAAAAAAACATTTCGGCTCGGCACCTGTGGCTCAAGCGGCTAAGGCGCCAGCCACATACACCTAAGGTGGCGGGTTCAAATCCCCAGCCCGGGCCCGCCAAACAACAATG